TAAAGAGGACAGCTCCCCTGTTGGCAAGGCCGTGAGGGTCTTCCAGCTATTAGGCAATGAGTGGAGATTGTCTCTCCAACCACCTCAGTGCAGCTTCACTGCCTTTGCACAGACGCTCAACCAACCCATTAAAGTATTCTATAATCCATTGAGGCATTGTTGTTTGCCCCTGTGAGATGGTTTTTGCAACTGATATGAGCTTGGGAGTTAATGTTACTGATAATGTCTTGGTGAGTGGGCCTTAAAAAATTTATGCATAGGAGTACAATTCAGCCCATGCCACTTCTGGACACCTTATTGTGTGCCTAACTATTGCCCTGGTATCTGGCCCAGACATGTAGTATGTCTTCTGGAAATGGGTTTGATAAGTATCCTAAAAATTAATGAAAGTGATGGGAGTATGAGCTGAAATTGTTTCAGCAATAATTACAGTTATTGTGACCTGAAAGGCTAGCCTGTCTTTTTTTTAAAAAAGATTTATTTATTTTTATTACAAAGTCAGATATACAGAGAGGAGGAGAGACAGAGAAGATCTTCCGTCCAATGATTCACTGCCCAAGTGACTGCACTATGGCCAGCACTGCGCCAATCCGAAGCCAGGATCCTATAGCCTCCTCCAGGTCTCCCACATGGGTGCAGGATCCCAAGGCATTGGGCCATCCTCAACTGCTTTCTCAGGCCACAAGCAGAGAGCTGGATGGGAAGTGGAGCTGCCGGGATTAGAACTGGTGCCCATATGGGATCCCGGGTGTTCAAGGCGAGGACTTTAGCTGCTAGGCCACTGCGTCGGGCCTAAGGCTAGCCTGTCTTTACAATTTCTTTAGAGCATAGAAAATATATCTGTTTTATCCACTTTTGTATTTTATGGATAGTGGAAATAAAGGATGCTTTGATTAATATTATAGAGACATTCTTTTAATTATTGTTTGACAATTTATAGATTGTACAGCCTGTAGTTTTAGGGGGATTTAATATTTGAAACATTTGTCTTGTATCATCATTTTTTCCCTTGTGATATATTTTTCCCATTAAATGATAGTTAAGTTGTAGAAATAGAAATGTAGTAGGAATGTAATACTGATTAGCAGGTAACCGCATGTGCCTTGGCCTTGGAGACCTGGCTGTTATCCAATGGCTACTACTGAAGAATGAATAATGGCTTGCTTTGAAGAAAATGGGTATAGTATTTTACAGAATTACCTTTAAGAGCACCTGCTCAACCATGAAGTAAAAAAAATAGCATAATCAAATGGCTGTGCATGATGGCTTACTCTTGAAGTAAAAATAGAACAATTAAGTGTTTGTGTACAAGCTTGTCATGTGTTTGAGTAAAAGAAAAAAAAAGACAGCTTCTTGTTAATTGAGGACACCATGCGACAGTGCCCATATCTGGATTTGCCAATTACGTGTGGGTCCTGTAAGACTGAAACTTCCAGTACAGGAGCTCTGAACCCCTAGGACTTCTGCTGAGTGCAGCTGGCCTCTTCGGCAAGTGCAGGCCTTCCAAGGTTCACCTTGGTTGGATCATGGCTGCTGCAGCACCACCACTGTAGTAAAGACAGTGGATGTGGTGTCTAAAAGTGTGTAGAGGTAACCTCATGATTTGCCTCAAAACTACAGGGACACACTTTTTACCCTAAGAGGTTGTCACTGATCTTCACCTGGACTGAATTGCCCAACTGTCTCTTGATTGAATGTTTCTGAAGAGAGAAAGATGCAAATGCCAAGACTGAAACAGTCCAGATGAATCTGCTCAAGAAAAAAAAAATGGAGCTTCTAGAAAGTTTGTTTATAATAACTCTATAATAGTAAAGGAAGAAGTTTTAAATGTAGGAAGATTTCTCAACAGTGGGCGAAAGTCTTCAAAGTGTCTAAAGCACAGCTACAGAACTGCCCCATCATTCATCGATCACTTTTTCTGGAATGTTCTTTGGGATCCCATTGATTTTGGCATCATAGAAAATCCAGGGATCACAAAGAGAAATAATAGATTTTTTCCATAATTTTTTCCTATGGAGAGAGAAAGCAAACAGCCAAAATACAACAATAACTTACTTTCTATCCCAGTGAAACTGATTTCTGCTAGAACCCTAGCCTAGAGTCACCCCTCTCTTCCCTACTGGAAGCTGATTAAGTCATCCAGTGAGCAAGCTGGAAGAACTACAAATCACAGTCAGAGAAGATTAATATAGTTGCTCAGAGTATGAAATCAGTCCTGCGTTCATGACTAAACTTGTTTTCATTTGTTCATTGTGTCATCTTACCTTTGATTATAGTGGGAAATGGGAGCATGAGAGATGTTCTACTATGAAACTCCATGGCAGTAACCTTACCAACACACCTGAAGAACTGTGCATCTGAACAATACTACTGGTGATATCCTGTAGGTAGCTGTCATGCTGAGACGGCTGCAATGCTGAGAGTACAAACACAAGGGCAGATGCCCCACATTCAAAAGTCACAGAAAAGCAGGAATAGAATGAAACTCATCCACTAAGACATTAGGTATTTTTACAGTTACAACCTTGAACTGTCATAATGCCTTCTGAGGTCTCCTTTAACCAAGGAGAGTGAACTCTGAGCAAAAGACAGAGAAAAACAGCAACACTGAAAGAGCAATTGATTCACAGACTGTCCAGGTATCTCTTGATCATATGCTAGTTTCTATTCAAATACAAAACACATCTATATTTGAATTCTGGCCAAAGCAAGCGGGAATGAAATATGAAAAGGCAAACATGCCATTACTTCATACAATACAAGAATATTATAAATGCCTCTGGAAATATTTGGTTCAAATAACAAAATAAATATGAACTGATAGCCAGAATTGATACTTTGCGGTACTTTGGGGATGGAAAAAACCAGCCTCAAGTCAATCTCCCTCATTCCCCACAGAACTACCTTCCTCCACTTCTCTCTATAGCTTATGCTTTTGAGTGAACTTTCAATGGGATTTAATATAAATATTGTTCCCTAAAAATGATATAGTATGCGCTGGTACAATAACTGCTAAATGCAAATAGTAGTATTAGGAAGTCTGAGTAGACAGCTGAGAGATCCCTCCCCACTTCTGCACAGCCAGCGCTTTGATGCTCTTGTCTGGCACAGCATAATTTTGGATATTCCCACTTGCATTATTTTATCTCAGTGTCTTTCAGTGAATTCTTCCACATGGACTTCAAAACGAAGGCCTAAGAAATGAAAACTTCTATAAACAGAAGTGTCAGTTTAGTGGCTAGGAATTGGGAAATAAGGAATGATTTAGGAGGTGAAAGAGACAGTGGAAGTGAGTTCTAAATAAGCCACTTCACTGTCTCTTCCTATCTATTGGTAGTCTGTGTGAGATTTTCTTTCAACAAAAGATATAATTACAAAAATTCACTTGAAATCTTTGGATATAATCTAGCACTTAAGGGTATTAACAAATTTGGTTGCTAGACAATGTGCTATTTGAATTTCTGAATTAATATCAATGATCAAAGTTCAATGTTTAATCTAAAGATAAGGAAAAAAGTGCCTGAATGCAAATTTCTGCAGTCAATTTTAAGTAGGGACAATAAGATGCTGGACTCTATGCTTGGTATGTGCTTACAATGAAGGAATCTCAACTGAACTTGAACTGTGGTCATACAACAAGGGGGAGGAATCCACCATGGGGGGAGGGTTAGGGGAGGGGTGGGGGAAACCCAGTACCTATAAGACTGTATCACATAATACAATGTAATCAATAAAAAAATGCAAGCACAAACGAAGAAACACGAAAAAAATTAAGTGGGGGTAGGGTAAAGAGGAATGAATCTATTAACAATACATCTCTATGGTTACTACTATGAGCAATGTAGCACAGCACAGAACACTCAGTAAGCAGAAGTGCTTGGAACCTTGTGTTTGCAACACTGTGAAACCTTACAGTAGTTCTCAGGAAGCCAATCTGTAACTCCTGTAACAGACCATCAGCTTGGAGCCCTCCACTTTGTCTCAATAGGAAACCAGGAACTCTAAGATTCTTGCCAATTTCATGTTACATTGAAAGGTCATTTCATACCTCAGCAAGTACAAAGTGCTCTTCTCAGTATTAACATTTTTTGGTGATTTTCAATGAAGGCCCATGAAACTTCATTAAAGCAACAAATATTCAGTTGTAAGTTTTGATGACCATTTCTGCTCTTTTCTAATGAATAAATCATCTAAGCTTGCACTAAGCCAAGGACTGCTGGATGCTCTATCTGTGTCACTTTGTGTTGACCATGTTCCTTCCTGAAGACATATTTGATTCATTTTAATAATTTCACACTTACCCCTTGTTTTCAGCAAAGGAAAGGAAATATGACAGTTCCCTATTCATACCATGGAAAGCAGTTCAGCAAACATGTCTGCCAGTTCCTCCTTGGAAAATTGCCTATCTCCTCTCTGCACAGCACTCATTGTCATATTGCGAACTGTCCCTCACCTATTCTGTAATAAACTGGGCTTTTCAAAAACTGAGTGATATTTCTCAATCCTGTGAAAGCTGATTGTTAAAGGAGCAACACAAATTCCCAAGGTTTATTTTTTTCAATGCCTAATATGGAAAGCTTGAGGAAAATACAATCTCACCACAATTTAACAATATTCTCCTTCCCACATCAGGAGATTAAAATAAACGTTGTCTTTTTTGTTCAGAGTAAAGCAAGATATTTTTAAAAAGCTTAGTACTGCAAAGTAGCTTGGGAGAGAATATTAACTGCTTCCCTACAAAGAAAGAACCCATGTTTGGAAGTCTGGCTATACTAATTGCTTTGATTCCAACACCACAGTGTATCCATGAATCAAAACAACACATAATGCCCCATTTATTTGTATAATTGCTTGTCAGATATAATAAATAAGAAAAAATTAAAACAAAAGTATAAAAAACATCAATGCCAAAGAAAATAATTGTCTTACAGTAATGTACAGAAGCAATAAATGATTCATTCATTTGTTTGTGACACATTATTGCAAAGTAGTATTCTTACTTGAATTTAGGCAGAGCAGTTTTCCTTGTGTTGGGGTCACTTCTCTGGTAATCTCAACATTCTGGATGGTAATCTAGAGGCAGAATAGGAAAATACGTTCTGTGGTTATTTAAAATAGAAATAACGACAAGTTAGCACTAAAATGCATTCCCTTTGGCCCTTGGAAGACATACATGTCAGGCATACCTGTCACACATTTTGTTACCAATTTTAGAATAAAGGTCAGGTAATTCAAAGTTCTTATGAATAACCTAGAGAGAAAATTGAATCATACTCCAAATGGCTAATAGCACAAGAGTAAGTTCAGTAGATTAGACCTTAGTTAAATCTGATAAAAGAAATGACAGTATTTGGTAATCTGCCCCAAATTTCATCTGCCACCAGCTGGCATGTGCTGCTAATCAACCAACACTGAGGTTATTGGGATAGGGTTCTAAGTTTAAATAAGTTACAATATTTGAAAATATTCACTTAAGTAATAGAATATAAATTTAAGCCAAGAAGCAATGAGTTTTTATGAGATTCAGCTGCTAACTCAGGTTTATAGTGAAAAGAAGGCCCTTCATTAAGGCTTGAGCATTAAATTACTCATTTGAGAAGTCAGAATAATGCTCTGCTTGTGCACTTTCAGTGATATTGCTTCCTGTTTTCTGAGGAGCTGAATTATAGTGCTGGACATACTCTAACACTTTAATGACAGTCATGTGAAATAGTACATTTATAGGGTCTTAACTGTGAGAAATCCCATGGAATGGTGCTGGCTCCAGAGGCATCCTTTTATGTAACTAGGAATATGTACTAGAGCTGGTATTGGTGCATGGAGTCAGCTGTCACCTGCACAGTGTTCTATTTCATTATGGGTTCTTGTTTGAATCCTGGTTGCCCCACTTCTAATCTAGCCCCTCTAAAAATGAGCATGAGAATGTAGAAAAAGAATCCTCTAAGTATTTGTATTCCTGCCACATACATAGGTAAAGAAATTGGGGTTCCAGGCTGTGGGATTCTACCTGGCCCAGCATTGGCCTTTATAGAAATTTGGGGAGTGAACTAGGGGATAGAACTCTCTCTCTTCGCCTCTTTTCCTCTGCCATTCCACATTTAAAATAAGTAAAATAAATCTTTTAAAAAATAAGAAAATATCAGATTTGAAAGATGTATTCCAGTTCTAATATACCAATTTGAGTTTGATTTAAATTCACAGAGGCTTAAAATACACATTTTAAAAATATGTAATTTTAAATAACTCTCCAAATTATTCTGAGAATTATCCCAATGGGGAGTTTTAAATCAGAGCAAAAGCTTGTGAGATGTGGGGACATAATTTCTGAATGACCTCTGACTCTCCTCCCATTATAAGCCCTGGATTATTGCTTGAGCTTTTTTGTGCTTTATTTTCAAGTGAAAGGTAGATTTTACAGAGAGAACAGGAGAGAGAGAGAAAGAGAGAGAGAGATGTCCACAGTTGAACTGTTCCAAAGCCGGAAGCCAGAAGCTTCTTCCAAGTCCCCAACATGGGTGCAGAGTACCAAGGCTTGGGTTATTCTCTGGGGCATTCTCAGATCATAAGCAGAATGCTATATTTTGAAAGTGAAGCAGCTGGAACATGAACCAGTACTGATATGGAATATCCGTGCCACAGGGCAGAGGATTACCTACGTGCCACCAAGCCAGCCCCAGCAGGATTCACTCAGAAGATAAGATTATTTTAGTTACCAAGATTCTGGTATTTTGCAGATGTAATTTCTTAAATAGTGGAAATTTGAATAGCAAGTTCAAAAGAAATTCAGACTTGAACAGATGGAAGCTCCAACAAGTGATCCGATTGAAATGGAGACAGGTTTTCCTCAGTCTCAGAAGCAAAAAGCCATCTTGCTGGACCAGGGTCACGTACCCAAGTTATTTAGAAGGCGGTCACTGGGCTCTCAGCATCTGGGGCCACACATATCCAGAGAGCAGTGACTCTGTCTCACCAAGGCAAACAACCAAACACTTCACACAGCTTGCAGAAAGGCCTTAAGGTTCCAGTTGGGGATTCAGTCTGACTTATGCGATGATCTCAGCCCTGTGATAGCCTGAGCATAGACTCCAGGAATGTTGTGCCTACACTTTTTGGGTATGACTATCAATAGGCAACTGAGTGATGTTCAAGACACTGCTTACAGCAATAATCTATAATCAACACAAACTGAATATTCCTGCATCACATTCTGAAATCCAAGGTGATTAATATTTGAAACTGTATTAGTGCCAACACTAACATAAGTAGAAAATTAATATTACAAAACTTGGTTTCATGCACAAAATGATACACTATTACATAAAATTACCTGCATTCTATGTGTGCAGGATTGTATGAAAGTTAAATGAATTTAACATTTCAACATTGATCCCATCTCCAGCTGTCTTTTTATATATGTTTGCATATATTGCAAAAGCTGAAAAACAAGTCTTAATTCAGAAACACATCTAGGCATTCTATCAGAAAAAGAATACTCAACTTGCACATGACACAATTCCTGTGCCTCCCTTATTGCGATATCCATGAATTTTGGCACGAACTTGACGTTTCCAAGGTGTGATTTAATTTGTATTTTGTATGTTAAACAATTCAAAGTTACATCCTGTGTCAGAATAATTTTAATTGCTTTGTATTCACCATCATCATGTTTTCAAAGATAAGGTTTGTTTTTTGCAAATTCTTTATTTTATATGAACTAATAATTTTATATTAATCACAATATACTTACTTATTGACCTTATCTATGGATTTCATTTCTGAAATAGAAAATAGGCCTTGAACCCTCAAAAGCATTAGTGTGTTCATATTCCTGTGGGTCAATACAGAGGCATCACATACCTGAAAGAACTCTATCCTGTTGTCCATGAGACTAGCTCACATTCAGTTTCTCTAGGACAAAGGGGAATCCTAGCCACTCAAACCACCAACTTTTGTTTGCAGGGTATATTAATAGGAAGCTGCAGGAGTCACCAGGATTCAAACCAGACTCTCCACTATGGAATATAAATATTAAAGGCAGCTTCTTAATCTGTAAGCCATAAAGCCCTACCTTACTTGTTGTCTTTGGTTGGCATTTTCACCTGCCTTAATTCTTAATTACTTGTTTATTTCGCTGTTAAATAATTGCTATGTCTCCTCTAAAATCTTTAATGTAACACTGTGAGAAATGAAGAAGAAATCAAATAAAACCACAAGCTAAGCTAACAATCCAAAGAAAAGTTCACTATAAATAAGGAAGTAAATAAAAGTCCATTTAAGCAGACTGATTGATTTATCACTCAACAAAGAAATAGATTTAGGAGGTATAAAAGGAATCCCAGGGCTCCTATCATCATGTTCCTTAAAAGATTCTGAGCCCCCTAAGGACAATCTGTATGATCTTCCTCTTTGTAGTTCTTTATTTTTCTGTACGTAATACACAGGATTTACATTGTCAATAAGTGAGAAAAAGAGGCAAAATAGTTTGTAGCCCACTTTCCTCAAAACCAGTGGTGAGATTCCATTTTTGATTTAGAAATTGAAATAGAATATATAGTTTATATATAACCATGATTTATAAAAGTATAAATTGAATTTCAAACGTACAATTTAGCTATGATTCCTTAAAATATACTGCCAAATTATTTACTTATTAAGTATCTCAGTGTCAATATACCCATAATATCTGTGCTTTGTGATGGATTTTAACAAAATATTTACTGATAATTAATAAAAATAGCAGTAAGAAAAGCAATTTCAGCTGGAAAAGAAAATATATGTGAAACTTAAACAAATCAGACTTCAACACCCATTGACATTCATGAGAGCTGAATGGGATGTGTACAGACTGGACCAGTCTGCTGTACATACTGGCTAGCATGGGAACCAGGGCAGGGGTGAGCCTAGTGGGGATTATTGTGGATCGCCCCAATTAGGCTGTGGTTCTCACAAGCTTATGTGGCCAAGTATGTGGTGGGCAGGACCAGGCTGGGCTGCAACACCCATTAGTTTGCATAGAGGACAGAGCTGAATACAGAACTGACACAGCAATTGCATCCACAAGTGTGTACATAAGCTGATTGAGGTAACAGATTGTGTTAGACCCTGTATTGGCAGGCACACACAACAATTAGGTCTGGGGTCACTTCAAATGAGTTTTCTTTAGGGAATCTCCCAACTGAATCACTGGGCTCAGAACTCCAACCATAGAGAAACTACAGGGTCCATGGTCCAACTGTGGAGTGCTTGTGTCAGAGCTGGGCCTCTTCAATGTCTTAGATGAAACAGTGGACAGCATAGCCAATTACACATAGAGGAAATGACAGTGAATTAGAACCTGCAGAGGACACCTGGTACCATAACAGAGGACAGAACAAATTGTTCAACTACCCCAGAGAAGTGTTGGTAAACGGAGACTCTAAGGTGGACTATGTCAGCCACTGGATTCTCGAGAGATTTCATCATGCTTAGAGTGGCAAGACTGGCAGCAATTCAGAACTATTACACCATCAAAACCACTTGAGCAGTTCCCTTGGAGCATGCCCCACATCGGGGACCCTGGAATGGTTGGGAGGATTGCTGTGGCTTCTCCCTTTGTCTAGCCCCTTTCCAGTTACACAGGAAGGAAAAAAGAGAATGTGGGAACAATGGTCTTACACACTTTTCTCTAGCCCTTGATCCTTTGTACCCTAATCAACTATGTAAAGGTTATCAAAAATAAAAACATAAATGGATAAATAACTAAAGATAAAAATGATTTATTTTAATTGGAAAGGCTGAGTTACAGGGAGATCTTCCATCTACTTATTCACTCCCCAAAAGGCTGAAGTTTTATAGTTGGGAGAATCTGAAGTCAGAATGCAGAGGTCCTTCGAGCTCTCTCATGTGAGTGTCGAGGCACAAAAATTTGAACCCTTTTCTGCTTTGTTCCCAAACCATTAGAAAGCAGCTGGTTCAGCAGTGGAGCAGCTTGGAGAGCAGCTGGCATCCTTAGGGGATCTCAGTACTTTGGCAGAGGGATAGCCTACTTTGCCACCACACCAGCCCCATCAATCAATCATTTACATCTAATAATT